CTCTCTCTCACACACACACACACACACATACACTTCATGCTCTCAATAAAGCAAATTAACATTTTCCACCCTTTTTGATGATTGCAAATCAAAAATAGTATAATATATTATGTAGACTATATTATACATCATGATAATATTTCTTGGTTTTACTAAAATTCTTCACATTACAGTATGTTTAATTGAGAATAACTGATCTGAACTGAATTGATCTGAATAATGACTCTATCGTCTAATGTTGAGCTGAAATTGAACTAATATTATAGCTGATGAATTTTACAACATTAACACTGAATCAACACTTAACTGAATAATGACTCTATTGTCTTCTGTAGAGATGCTTTCAATTGAATTTGTTTCATAACTGATGAATCTTGCATCATCAACACTGTTGTTTTCTCCTGTGAAGCTGTATTGTATAAAGCATCTTGACTTGAATTCAAATGTATTATTATTATTATTGTGGTGAAATACGAGTCAGATGTGTTCTCATGCAAACACAGTAGAACATATCAATATGAATCTTTCGGATGAATCCCTTTTGTATTATTATTATTATTATTGTGGTGAAATACGAGTCAGATGTGTTCTCATGCAAACACAGTAGAACATATCAATATGAATCTTTCGGATGAATCCCTTCTGAACGTCTTCATCATGTTCTTCACGTCACACACTGAATATCACAATCCCATAATCCCTCCTGGAGCGCGTTGTCATGGTGACGCAGCATTTAGGAGGGTTCAGGGGCGCTGCAGTTCCCTCAGCAGACAGCAGGGGGACACACGTACCGTACAGAGCTTTACCACCCAACCTTTTGGCAGGAACATCTGGAGACAGTGCATCTATGCTCACATTTTCCTTGCTGTTCTTCTAGGACCGAAGTGAATTAATAATCATTGTGACACGTGTTCTTTCCTCAGTCACTCACGGCCTGTGTGTGTATGTGTGTGTGTGTGTGTGTGTGTGTGTGTATGTGTGTGTGTGTGAGAGAGTGAGAGAG